TAGATTAATCACTTGGAGCATGCAAATTTTCTGGGCCTTTCAGTCCAGAATATGGTTTAGAAATATCACATAACAGGAAGTTCTGCTGGGAAAGATTCAGTCAGTGATGGTTTCTTTACACTTCTGTATCAGCATAACCAGCCTAGCAGTTTGCTACAAGTCTTTCTTACAAACTCTGCTTCTCATAATACAATCTGCATCTGTTCTATGAGAATTTACAGGCATAGTTATGCCTGCAAAGTGTTCCTTATGTAGACTCAGAATATGGAGTTCTTTTTAACTTCTTTTTTTCATAGTTGCTCTTGTTCTTCCAAGTTTTCCCCTGGCATTTTTTGCCTAATGAGTTGTGAAATCTAATCAATTGCAATAATTAAAACATACTGTGTGTAGAATGATGCACCGCTTTAATTACACAACAAAGTCCCCAACAAATAAAAGCTTGAGATTCTTACATTAGAAGAAACCAAACTGCTTTACTTTGCTGTATTTTTTTTCATGAAGAACAAACAGACTCATGATAGATGGTATGTATAAAACACTTAACATTCCAGGCTTGCTATACTGCATATTTTATTAAAAGATCTGGGCGAGGTCAGGCTTGTGTGTTAGCAGCATATGAAGCAGCCACGAAGGAATGGCTGGGACAAACAAATAGTTGCTTCTTTTCAATAAAACACCCTGGGTGGCAACTCTGAACAGGAAAGTTTTGTGTCCAAGGTCTATAAAATGCATGGAGTTTTAGCAATGTCACATGGTGCAAGAGAGGGTGCTATTCACTGACTCATCTCTTTTCTAGGACCTTTCGTATGCTGGTAAACATTTAGGCATGAAATAAATCCCTTATGACAAACTGAAATGCCAGTGTTTCCTAATTAAAATCAGTTTGATGACAGTTGGGCAGATACACTCTTACAGTATTATTTTTTTCTAAGAACAATGCATGTCAAGCAATTGGGTCCTGGTATTATGCAGCTTTTTCCAATCCTGTTATTTACATTCTGATTCTGGTCCCAGTGAGGCTCCATCAACTTGAGAGAAACTGCAAACTCAACTGTTCAGACCTATGCCTTTTTCATTTGTTCTGTAAATTCTGAAAGTATAATTATGCTATTGAGTACTTTAAAGAACTCAAGCCTGCATTAGCTATTTCACAGTCATTAAGGTGAAGTGGATAACCTAGTACACCTTATTTAAGTTTCCAGTGAAATCTGATACAGGTGACTTTCACAGTTTGAAAGGTAGTTATTGTTCATTTACAGTGCTGTCCTTTGTCTGCCTCAATCCTAGCTACAAATTTCATTAATCAGCCCTGCCTACATATGCATTGTTATTGCCCTCATTCTTTTTAGCCATAAGGTTGGCTTCTTTTGCTGATGTTGGTATCAGAAGTTTTAAAGGACTGTATAGCCCACCTAAATAGGATAGATTAACCTAAGGATGTTTTCTGAATGGGCTGTATGAAGGATGAAGACAGATGGTCACTCACTTGGCAGGAGAAATGGATGGATCTTATTTCTCCAATAAATATAGTTAAAAAAAAAAAAAGACAGAAGCAGCACTGGTAGAGAAAAATTCAAATAATTGTTTCAATGCTTTAGAATATGAAAGGTGATACCTGTATACCTGTTCTGTACTATTAGTAGCTGAAAAAGGCCAAAGATAGTACATAATTACAACATGATGCTAAATACACACCACACCATGAGCAATTTCTGTTTGTGCTTAGAGAGCTGAATATCCTCTTAATAACCCATAGATGAAACAAGTTAACTGCCATTTTTCTCAAAGCTACAGTGAGGTGGCCTTTCTATCTCTAGAGCCTCTATCACCACTGTGACCAGTCTCTCTGCATACACTCCTCATACTTGTATTCTTCTCAGCTGCTTTTCACTCTTCTTGGGTGTTCCAGCAATTTTGTCAGACCTAATGTGTCCTTGGAACATCACCAAATGGATTTAACAGTACCATTTCTGAGAAATGAAAGTAAATGCTTTTATGAATGAGCTTAAACTGAGCTTTAAAACAGAAAACAGTTTATTTTATTATTTCTAATAAAAACATGGATTTAATTAGGTCTTCCAAAACAATATATTTTTTTCTAAGTGTTATAATGATTTTTGTATCATTTTAACACTGCTCACTGTCTCAAATCTGCTTATATTCCTTAGAGTATAAATAACTAAACTTTCTGGTAAGGCTGTGAGGTTTTCTGATTTTCATTTTTTTCTCATAATGTTGGTTCTGTTAAAGACAATGATCAGCTATTCCAGGGAAAGTGGGAGGCTGTGAGGTACGGAGAACTGAACTTTATCAAAATATCTTTTTTCCATCATGGGGCAATTTATACAGAATCCGGCCTGCTGGAGACAGATGGGGTTCACCTGTCTAAAAGGGGGAAAAGGATTGTAGCAGGACTGATTGAGAGAGCTTTAAACTAGGTTTGAAGGGGGAAGAGAATAGGTCCAGGCCCACTAGAGATGAGCCTGGGGAGAACATGCCAGTGTTGGGTATGAAATCAATAACCCACCTGAAATGCATGTACACGGCAGAACACAGTATGGATAACAAACAGGAGGAGCTGGAAGCCATGGTGCAGCAGGAGAGCAATGATGTGGTTGCCATCACAAACCATGGTGGGAACACTCACATGAATGAAGTGTGGCAATGGATGGTTATAAGCTCTTCAGAAAGAACAGGTGAGGAACGAAAGGTGTGGGGTGTGTCTGTACATTCAGGAGTGTTTCAACTGTGTAGAGCTCAGAAACTGAAATTGGAGGTTGGCCAATATGACACACATCTACAAGAAGGGTCAGAAGAATGGTCCAGGGAACTACAGGTCTCTCAGCCTGACCTTGATGCTGGGTAAGGTTACGAGACAGATTATCTTAAGTGCAATCACACATCACGAACAGGACAACCAGAGGATCAGGCCCAGCCACAATGCGTTTAGGAAAGACAGGTCCTGCCTGACCAACCTGATCTGTTTTTCTGACCAGGAGACCTGCCTAGTGGATGAGGGAAAGGCTGTGAATGCTGTCTGCCTGGACTTCAGTAAAGCCTTTGACACTGTCTCCCACAGCATTCTCCAGGACCGGCAGCCCACGGCTTGCACAGGTGCACTCTTCACTGTGTGCAGGCCTGGCTGGATGGCTGCGTCCAGGGAGCTGTGGGGGTTAATGGTGCTACATCCAGCTGGCATCTGGTTACTAGTGGGGCTTCCCAAGGCTCAGTATTGAGGCCAGTGCTGTTTAAGATTTTTATCCGTGATCTGGATGAAGAGATTGAGTGCACCCTCAGTAAGTTTTCATTCAGCCCAATGTTGGGCAGGAGTGTTGATCTGCTGGAGGGCAGGAAGGCTCTACAGAGGGATATGAACAAGATGAATCAATGGGCCAAGACCAGCTGTATGATATGATATGATATGTTATGATTGATATGATATGATATCAACATGACAAACTGCTGGGTCCTGCACTTTGGTCACAACAACCACATGTGGTGCTACAGACTTGGGAAAGAGTGGCTGGAAAGTTGTCTAGTGGAAAAGGACCTGGGATTGGTACTCAACAGCATGCTGAACATGAGCCAGCAGTGAGCCCTGGTGGCCAAGACCACCAATGACATCCTGTCTTGTGTCAGGAATAGTGTGGCCAGCAGGACCGGGGCAGCAGTCCTGTACTTGGCACTGGTGAGGCCTTACCTTAAGTCCTGTGTTCAGTTCTGAGTCTCTCACTAAACACTTTGAGATGCTGGAGTGTGTCCAGAGAAGGGCAACAAAGCTGGTGGAGGGTCTGGAGCACAGAGCAGCTTACAAGTGTTACGATGAGCAGCTGAGGGAGCTGGAGTTGTTTAGCCTGGAAAAAAGGAGGCTCAGGAGAGACTTTATCACTCCTTATAAATGCCTGAAAGGAGGCTGTAGCCATGTGGGGGTCAGCCTGTCCTCACAGGCAACCAGTGGTAAGATGAAAGGATATGGCCTCAAGCTGTGCCAGGGGAAGTTCAGGTTGAACATCAGGAAGAATTTCTTCACTCAAAGGCTTGACAGGCATTTGAACAGGCTGCCTAAGGAGTCAGCAGGTCTTGAAGCATTCAGGAAACAAGTGGTGTGGCACTTAGGGCTATGGTTTAGTTGGCATGGTGGTGTTCAGTTAAACATTGGACTTGAGGGTCTTGGAGATCTCTTTCAGCATTAATGTTTCTGTGATTCTGTGATTCTAAGATTCTATGAAAGTGAGTGACAAAATATATTATAAAACCTATCTTCTTAGACAGAAAGCAAAATTTTATTTCTTGGAAGCCTTTGTCTACTTACACATCTTAATAATTATGAGAAACTCAGTTCTCCTTCATACTTCTTACCTTTTAAAATCTTGCTCTCAACCTAATTCAGGACCAAAACCTTCAATTCTTGTAGCATCTGAAATTTGTCAGTACATGACAATTCGGCAGGACTAGTCTCCTGAACACTGCTTCGTGTTTATTCTTCTTAACTTTTTCTTCTTAACTTTTCAGGTTATAAATTTATGCCTGTCTAGGAAAGTGTGCACTATGAAGTGCTGAATTACCCTCGTACACATGGTATTCCCAAATCAATTCTCCACACTATGTAAAGTTTTACATAATTACAATTAATGCAGAAAATTCATAATGTTCTGCACATTAGCAGGAACTATATATCTTTCACTTGGTGACTTGCACTAATAAACATCACCTCCTATTGTAATTTAGAAATGGTAAGACTAGTCATGGCCTGCTTTCTGAAATTAATTGGCTTACTGCAGGCAGTAAAGCAATCAGGTTTTGGCCATGTCTAAGATGAGTCTAATGTTTTCTCTGTGCGAAATTCAAAACAATAAAACAAAATAATGAATGCAGCCATGAAAACAGCTTCCACCATTCTATGTTTATTTGACACATGTACATTTGAAAGGATTTAATCAAACCCTGACAAGTACACTTGTATCAGTCTAACCAAAAACATTTTTTATTTTGTTTTACAGATTTTGGCCATTGTGTCCATTCTGTTCATCGTCCTGTCCACTATTGCTTTGTCTCTTAACACACTGCCAGAACTTCAAGAAATAGATGAATTTGGGCAGCCAAATGACAACCCTCAGCTAGCACACGTTGAAGCTGTGTGTATTGCTTGGTTTACCATGGAGTATCTTTTGCGTTTTCTGTCCTCACCAAATAAGTGGAAGTTCTTCAAAGGCCCATTAAATGTCATTGACTTACTGGCTATCTTGCCGTACTATGTCACCATTTTTCTCACAGAGTCCAACAAAAGTGTCCTGCAGTTCCAAAATGTCAGACGTGTGGTTCAGATATTTCGAATTATGAGGATCCTAAGGATTCTTAAGCTCGCCAGACATTCAACAGGCCTTCAGTCTTTAGGCTTTACACTCAGGCGGAGTTACAATGAATTGGGCTTGTTGATATTATTTTTAGCCATGGGCATAATGATATTTTCAAGTCTTGTATTCTTTGCTGAAAAGGACGAGGATGCTACAAAATTTACAAGTATTCCTGCATCATTCTGGTGGGCAACAATCACTATGACTACTGTAGGATATGGTGACATTTATCCTAAGACCTTACTAGGTAAAATAGTTGGAGGACTTTGCTGTATTGCTGGAGTGCTGGTCATAGCCTTGCCCATACCAATTATTGTGAACAATTTCTCAGAGTTTTATAAGGAGCAGAAAAGACAGGAGAAGGCAATTAAGAGGAGAGAAGCACTTGAGCGAGCTAAAAGAAATGGCAGTATTGTCTCTATGAATCTGAAAGATGCCTTTGCTCGCAGTATGGAAATGATAGATGTAGCGGTAGATTCAGGAAAGCTTGGAGAACCACTCAGTCCAAAGGAGACACCTGATGACAGCCACCTGTCCCCAAGCCGGTGGAAATGGGCCAGAAGGACAATGTCTGAAACAAGCTCAAACAAATCTTATGAAAACAAGTACCAAGAAGTTAGTCAACAAGACTCCCATGAGCAATTGAACAACGCTGCAGCATCCTCCAGCCCACAGCACCTCAGTGCCCAAAAACTGGAGATGCTGTATAATGAAATTACTAAAACTCAGTCTCAGCCTAATCTCAATGCTGGTTACCAAGACCAGTCAGCAAAGCCACCCAGGTACGAGGAAGAAATAGAAATGGAAGAAGTCATAGGTCAGAGAGATCCGTTGCCAACTGGGCCTGCGGACGTTGTCATGGACATGAGAAGCACATCCAGTATCGACAGTTTTGCCAGTTGTGCAACTGACTTCACAGAAACAGAGAGGTCTCCCCTCTCTCTGTTTCCTGGCTCTCACTTGCAAATGAGATTTCCAACAGATGCCATTAACCTGGAAGAAAACCAAAGAGCAAGAAGTTCTCAGTTCATACCATTTGCAAAAGACAGAGGATTTTCTCCAACCGATGTCACCTTTGACTATAATCCAATCAACAGAGCTGTTATCAGTGATGGCAGTGGGTCCCAAACTGTTTCACATGGTCATTTTCATTTTGACACTGCCATGGAAAGCCCCAAAAGCTCCCTGAAAGGTAGCAACCCATTAAAATCTAGATCCCTTAAAGTTAATTTTAAAGACAATAGAGGTGGCGCTCCTCAAACTCCACCAAGCACTGCAAGGCCACTGCCAGTGACAGCAGCAGCAGACTTCACACAGGCCACCCCTCAGCACATCAGCACCATTCTCCTAGAAGAAAATTCCCCCCAAGGTGAACGGCCTGTACTTGGTGCTGACGCATCTGCACTTTGTCAGGGACCTGCTAAAAAATCATCCCCACTCTTTCCCAAACAAAAAATTTTCACTTTCCCTTCAAAAGAGAGGAGGAGCTTCACTGAAATAGACACTGGAGAAGAAGAAGAGTTTATGGAGTTACATGGTGTGAAACATGAGAAAAAACAGGATATCAAGACAAATTGCTGTGGGGATAAACATAGTGATGGCAACAATTTAACAGGGGAGCCACAGGTCAGCTCTTCACCCAAAAGCATGAGCCACAACTGTACTCAAGACATTTACCATGCTGTGGGTGAGGTAAAGCCAGACAATAACCAAGAAGGTCACAAAATGGAAAACCATTTATTTGCTCCAGAAATTCATTCAAGTCCAGGAGAAACTGGTTATTGTCCTACACGTGAAACTAGCATGTGACTAGTTACAGAAGCAATAAAAACATCTTTTCTTAAAACAGTTAGTAATGCCTATGAACTAAAACATGGAAAGCCTCCACAAAAGTGCATAAAATGTTATTTTTGCATGGCATGAAGAGTTGTTTAGTTTAAATACTGTTTAATTTAAAAAAAGACTGCTTTTGTAACAAACTGAAAAAAACAGGGAAAAAATTACTCAAGAATGGTGAATACAATAAAGAGAGCTTTATTAGGAGCCAGTGGTCTGCAACATCTGACATTTTTGATCCTTTCACTTATGATTGTAGACAGGTTTTGAACTCTCTTAACTTTTTTTTTTTCCTTGGTTACAATGAATTTTAGAATTTGCACATGAAAGGATGAAATGTCAATGCATGCATTCATAAGGATGTGAAACAAGGTGCTTTGAGCTTGCAAAATGCATATACTTGTAAATAGTTTGGGGTTGGGGGGAAAGCTACTGTTAACAAGGATTTATGGAAAAAGCATTTCCTGGGACACAGGTACTTCCTTCACAGCGTGCTGCCTGGAGGTTTTGTACAGACTTATGTTGCAAAATTGCAACTTCTACTTAAAGCATCTTACGTCTCTTGCTTTCTGTTAAAAAGCTCATGAGTATATCTGTTAATTAAGGACTACAGTATTTTAGTTTACCTGTGCTATAAATCATGATGGTTTTGGTTTTTTTACTTGCAGAACTTCAGTTGTTGCATTTGTCAGTTTAATTAATGACCCTGTGAGGAAAAGTAAAGATTTAATGACCAGAACATGAAGCATTTGATATTTTTATAGAAAACTGACAACATTTCATAACTGAGGAAAAAAAAAATCCATTTTAAAATTTAAAAATCATAGTTATTTCTGCGGCAATAAATAGTGCCAAATGGCTATTCAGATATAACCAAAAGTTTTTCAGCCTCATAGAATATACCTTGGTATTAAAAAAAATATTTCCCACACTCTTATTTTTCCTTTGATTTAACACTATTTGCTTCTACATGATCTTTGATCTCTTAACTTTTGTTCTCCACATAGTGCTCATACTTCACTAATGGCAATGTTGTTGAAGCTGCTATGGTGTAAGGACATATGAGATGGGGCAAAGTGGTACCTTTTGTTATCACAAATCATATAGCTGGAGAAAAAAGGTTTCAAATACACGTGATTTGCCTCAGGTCTTCCATGCTCCAAAGCTTATTTGTGTTTTTCTGTTCAATCATTTGGACTGACAGAAGATATCACTTGACTCACCAACTTTGCCTCAACCCATCCTTCCATAGCTGTTCTGAAATGGAGTGCAGGATTTCCACTATACTTAAAAAAAGGAAAATGTCAATCATTCCACTGACAACTGCCAAAGCATTTTTCATTTCTCTGATTTCTCCAGCTTTCCAGTAAAAGAAAGATGCTGAACCAAAGCCTTCATTACAAAGTACTCATCTAACCGCTGTCTCGAAAAAGTTATTTTTTATTTTATCCAGAATCCATAAATTCCTGTGCTACAAACTGTTTTTTAAAAAAGCTTGTAGATTGCTTTAATGCCCTAAATCATAAAAAGTTTATTCAATTCATGAATTTTAATCATAAGCAAATGTATGTAGTTACATAGACATGTCCTAAAATATGTTCCTCCTTTTTTTTTTTTTTTTGGTTTTTTTTTGGTTTTTGTTTTTTGTTTTTTGTTTGTTTTTTTTTGTAAGGAAGATTTAAAAGTACTTTAGACCAATCAATGCACAGTTTGGAACAGCAGGCTTCTACTTACCATAGTGGAGCTAGGTTAATTTTTACTTGTATGTTTCTCTGTCACTTGAATATGTAACAACCAGGCACCAAATGCATTTAGCATAAAGGAACAAGCATTTTATTGTTACAACATGGCCCTTTGCTTGAAATGGCTGGGCTGATTCCACAGATCTCACTCAAGCCTGGCACATAGGAAAGAGGCAAGTTGAAGAGCCCCAAAATATTGATCCTGGTAGCTGGGCCAAACAATGAGCACAGCACAATCATTTAGGTGGGTTTTTTTAAAAAAAGTTTTCTTCTATATTTCCATCAGTTTTCTTATTTCTGTAACAAGATAATATTGAGTTGTCTCTTCAGTCGTTTGAGTAACTAAGAATATAATGTCTTTTTTTTTTTTCAAACAATGTCTGGTCATTAATTCTCAAAATAAAAATGATTATTTTTTGTCTTTAATTGGAGTTCATTTCAGCTTGTTGCTGCATTCAGTTTTATGCATTTATATTGTATTCTCCGTAACACTTTTCAATCATGTTATGTCTCACTGTCCCAAACTTAGCTCTTTAATATTTTATAGTCATTAATCTTCTACATTTATTTTTTAGTTTCTAGATATTTTTGGTGACTAAAACTAAATGCCAGTCAATTTTTATATGCCTGAAGTGTTGGTTTGTATTTTCTATGTGCAGTTTTATGAAATCACATGGGCCTGTTTGATCTGCCTTTACATCCTAGTGAACTGTTGAAGTCCAGATTAAGACTAAATGGGAGCTGATCCCATGCTCTGGATCCACAGAAAATTCCCATTCAAGACAATGACGCTGTTCTGGCAAGACTGAGGTCTGTGTCATGTTCCTTCTGTGTGCTTTTTCTCCCAGGTGACCCTTACACTTTGCAAAAGCCCCTTAGACCTACGTCACTTGGAAATGGCAAGGGCAGGAGTCCAGCCATAGGAAACGTATTGCAGGAACAGAGATTTAATTCCTTAAGCTCTCCCGAGCTAAACTTCATACAAACCTGATTCTGGCCTATTAAAATCACTAAAAGTTTAAAAGGAGTAAAGTCAAGGCCTCAATCCTTGTGCAGATGAATTTCCCCCTGAAACCAATGGGAGTCTGGAGGAAAAAGGGACTGACTGAAATATGAATGAGAGGAATGATAGTCTCTCCCTCTTGATGAAAACCAACAGGAGCTTTAACTATATAAATCAGATGAAAGACCAGGCCCTTATTTGCTGCTGTATTTTAAATGTTTTCAGAGAAGCACATTTATTTTGAAAGCAAAAGAAATGCAATTCACTTTATTAACAGATGCTTTATTTTTTTTAAATACTGGAAGCAAAATGATTAAGCTTTAGAAGTGCTATTGGTATAATTTTGTTATCTACTTTTGACTATGCTGAAAACTATTTCCAGAAGCACAGGTTTAGACATGTGGTTTTTCCAGTCTTGACTGCATGCACAGGATCCACCTCTGAATACCTGACTTGTATAATTCCTGATTAAAACATCAATTTGAGCAGTTGCAGGACTGGATCTAGCTTTCTATCCAGTACAGCAGGTGTAAGTGCAGGCCAGGATAACTCCATTCATCATGAATTGATATGCAGCAAATTATGCAAAATTACACAAGTATATTTTTCTGGTTTTTCTAAAACTTTGAAGCCATTTCGGACTTACTACCCATTCACCACAGTAAGGGGAGAATGTGTCTGAGTTCTGGAGTCAGTCTCTAATGCCAGCTGTGCAATTTCAAAACAACTTAAGGAGTCTCAGAAAGAAGTGACTCCTTTGTGCATCTGAAAGGGGTCTGACTCCTTGCATCACTGGAAAATGAAGAATGTTCAGGGAGATAGCTTTGCAATTGATCTATTTTTTATATTTTTTACTAACTGCAGAATCCTGAATCAAAGTTTTAATTCCTTTTCAATGATGAAACCAAATGCACATATTTAAAAAATGTTCTAATGAGTAATTAGAAGAGTTTTTGAGTAATAATCACATTAATCCAAGTCTGGGTGGCAGGTGGGGGGGGAATAATGTATCGCACAAACTGCAAAGGAAGTTCCTACAGGAAAGCTGTTTACAGGGGAAGTATGTAATGTAAAGAATGTAACATGGTGTAGGAAGTTTTTGCACTACCGAATTTATATAAAATACACTTTTTTTAAATGAAAACACAAAAGGCCTTTTAATGCTACATTGTATAGAATATAGAAGCCTCTGTGCTAATGCAGCAGTCTAATGCACTGTGTCCTCAACTTCACAATTGGTCTCAAAATTCAAACATTAGTGTTGTTAGAGAGGTGATATCTGATCTAACACTAGAGCAATGGACATGAAGAGCCTTTTAGCACACTATTATGTAACTCAGAATGTGTATAGACAGTTGTATTTTTGCCTATAACATTCATAAATCAAAATAACAATTGGCTTAATGAGTCATTTCCTAACAGGTAATACTGGGCACTGTATTTGTATTCCTTGAAAAACAATGAGTTCTTTTAAAAGTAGACCGCTTCCCCTACATGTTGTCTGAGCTTCTGTCTCCTTCAAGATTTACCTTCAACTTATTTAAATAAGTGCTTCAATCTCATCTCTAAACTGCAGTCCAGTAAAAAAGCCAGTTTTTCTTCTTGAATCTCTACTGCATACAGTCAGATTGGTAAAAATGTCCAGAGTTTAACTGATTGGCTTTTTGATTCAAATAACTTTTGAATCACTTGGATAGAAAATATATATTTTGATCAGGCAAACATATATTAGAAGTAAAATAATGCAACAAATATGCCTTTGTTTTTCTAAGTATCCAGCACAGATCAAGCAAGAAATGCAAATACAACAAAGGGGGAAAGAAGGGCAGAAAACTGTAAGTAAACAAGGCACATTTTAGTGTACTATATAAAAAGAGACATAATAAAATGTAAAGGAATCCTTGTTCACACTAAATGAAGTAAAAATGCCAGTAACAAAAGATTTAATTCCACTCCTTCTCCATCATAATTTTTAACCTAGAACCAACAGGTTCAGCAATGCTATTTTCCAGTCACCTGTCACATGAATATCTGATCTGTAATCATTTTTCAGAAAACTTTGCTGAAAAATAAGGTATCACATGTTGGTGTCTCTGTTGATCTTTGGATCTCTTGCCCTTTGCCTCCCAATATCAACCTTCTCTTCTTCTAGGGAGTGGTCAGAAAGCAACCCAACCAACAAGATGATAGGTGTGTCTTGCTTGTCAGGAAAGTGTTTTGGTAGTGTGGTGGATGCTGCATTTGAACCAAGGAACAAGAACTGAC